TTTATCTTGATCCCTAAGCAAAAATATCAAACTTTAAAAAGTGGAAAGAAATGACACTCTTCCCAAACTGAAGTGCGTCGCACGATAATAGAACGAGTCATGTGGAATAGTCGGACATGCAATTTGAAACTAAAACTGCAAATTAAGATGTTTATTTCTTCATATTCTAAATGTCAAGGAGCCACTCTTAAAGGAGCGGAGATATTCGCCTCATCTCATTCGTGAAAGATAGAATTACAACAAACCTCCTTCATGCATTAAATTCAAAGTTAATGTTAGACATAAAGAAGTGGATACAACTATACGTCCTTCGTGGATGCCCATGTTGCATACACACGTAACTGAAGGTGCATGTCTATCTTCGCGCACACCAAGATCAGTGGCAAATCTGACATAAACAAGTGGATACAACTATACGTCCTTCGCGGATGCCCATGTTGCATACACACGCAATTGAAGGCGCATGTCTTTTTTCGCGCACATTACGACCAGTGCCGGTGGCGTGCTTTACGATTTATCGATTGATCTGCCATTTAAACCTACAGAAAACGATCAATAAACAGGCCGCTCTCAACGAACACCCTAATAATCGATTCTATACCATAGTTTTAAATGTGCAAAAAACCGATGATCGATCATTCACGCCCCGCCACTGAAGAACACAACCATCTCGAGGCAATAAAGACGCTATTGAGTATGAACCACCATCTAGGCCCGTTCCCGTCTTTTCAGTTTTCCGCCATTCAAAATTTTCCGTCCGAAGATTGATTTGCCCTGCGGATGTCTCGTAAAAAAGCCGCGTGATTTTGAGGGGAAACAGATCAAGCGAACAGGGAACAGGGGGCATAGGCTCAAAATCAACGGAGTTCTCCCTCGCGTTGTATTTCCCGATGTCAAGTCTTCCCCGGAGGATCATTTCAGAGCAGTCAGAACTTGAATGATTGAAAGAACGGTACAGTGAGGAATTGAAGCCGAGGGTCCAAACCCGACGTTGCCAATTTCGCAAACTCCGATTTTCACCACCGGGAAACTGCAGATCATCATGGAGTTTCCATCAGAATTACGCTGTTCTCGCGCAAGAGAGCGGAATAGTCGAATTTCACCCGAGAACCGGCAACACTGCTGAGCAAAATTGCCAAATTGTGCTAAGACCCAATAATACGAGCAGTGTAAATTGGGGGAATTTAAGGTCAAATTTGGCAATTCTGCATGTCCGAAGCAGGTATTTCCATACCGGCCATCAATCTATATTTGAGTTGAACGAGCGTGATAAATCGGCCGCTCCTGTTTCGTCGCTGCCCGATTTTGATGTAAAACGCGCCTATTAGCACGGGCCTAAGGGGTGAGTTAGGTGCTTTTCGCGGCAATTTGGCAGGTTTGGGTAGTTTCAATCATTTTGTCAGCTAAATCAACAAATAAGGGGGCACGCGCCCCTTACCACGAGCCCCAACCTGCCACCCCCTCGCCGCGAATGGCGGACCTTTTGCGCGACCCGACTGACTGCTTGGATTTGTCTCGCTGTGAATAAGCCCCTATTCGCATTGTCATATTAATCATTTCCACGCGAGGATGTCAGATATTGCCTTCCCACCGTAAAAGAACAGTAATGACCAAAATATCGACGGTGTACGTCCGCAACCACGTATCTCGGTTTGCGACGTCTCAGACTTCCTGGCATACTTCATTTTTTAAAAGGAAAACCACTCAACGGCAATTCCTTAAAACTGCCGTGATTTTTCTTCTCTGTCCGAAGAAAATTCTGAAAAAACTTCAAGGAATGATGTCAATTTGGACGTATTTTTGCTAAAAGGAACTATGTGCAAGTAAAAAGATGGGATGTGCTCGTTAGTGGTCGGGCAATAAGAATGAATGGGGATTTTGAAGCGTCAGTGACGTCAGCGGCAATGAAGTCTCACTCGAAGCTCGCTCATCTTTAACTCATGAGCCCTGTGCACAACCCTTTTGTCCGATGTCCACGGCTCACGAGTTAGCGCTCAGTTCCTTTTGATTTAATGTCAAATCCCGCTTTTCAATTTTCTCCAAATTTGTAGTAGTAGTATAGGCTTTTATTATTATAGTTTTATTATTACTAAAGGTTGAATTTCAAGAGAAGATGTATCATCTGGAATCCCACCGTCGCGTCGTAGGAAGAGCTCACTCCACGGATTAACTGAGTGATCCCTCTTCCCCTTTGACATTGAAGAGGGTCCATCGACTGACGTCATCAATTACCGTTCCTGCGCCGATACAATTACTGAAAGGCCCGGGTGGGTAGTCGTAATTTCCGAAAATCCCTTGGTGACGTCACAGATGGGCAAACAATCGATAAATGCCGCATCCTGATTCTAAAATAGTTCTTGTGGGCTGTTTAGAAATGACTCACGCCCACAACTCGAAGGTCCGCGTGTTATAAATGGAAATTACAATAAACTACAATTATCTCACTGTGGTGGGAATAACTGAGAAGTTTCTGTTTAGGGTAAAAACATGCAGTTAATTCTTCCCACTCAATTTTGGAAGTGGAGGCCGATGCTTTTCAGAATTTTTTGAATTGACAAATTAGACAAATATATGGTACGTTTCATGGGGAACAGATAAATAAAAGCAAAAACAAAAAAAAAAAAAAGAGAAAAAACCCGGAGGTTATATTTTTTGAAATCGCATCAAGTTTAATTGAGAGTGTAAAAGCTGCAGAGTATGCAGAGCATGAGCATGAGCATAAGCATACATTCTATAAATGGAAAATGGTCGACATTAATGGATTTGCATGATTACTTCAAAAAATGATGATAAAAAATCAACATATTTGCACCGAATGTACGCCATCCCAACGGTATAAATGACCTATTTAAAAAAAAATAATTTAAAAATAAAAGGAGGTCTCATTTTTTCATTGACGGTTAAAAATGGAAGATACTACATTCGTTGGAAGGAAAACACGATCTGGGAAAACCATCTCGACGATTCCTACGTCTCTCCTATCTTTGGCTGCAAACGCATCATAGAAATGGAAAATGGAGCAAGGGAAAAGACGGCGCAGAGATACAACTATTCGTACTCGATGGATGACCGTGTTGTATCTGCAAAATTGAAGGCGCGATGGCGTGAGGCGTGAACTAACGTGCTCCGCTATACGCTGCTAAAGACGTGTCGCTTAGACTCGGAAAGTTAACAAAAACAAGGCCGATTACGTCTCTTCTATCTTCGGCTGTGTTGCTCACGTAGTACTTGAAGCACCACTACAAACTAGATAAACGGGAGTAAACACAATATGGAAATAGAGCATGGAAAAGGACTCGCGTTGAGACGGCGCAGAGATACAACTATTCGTACTCGATGGATGACCGTGTTGCGTTCGCGAAATTGAAGGCGCGATGGCTTGAGGCGAGAACGCGCAATGCTCCATGCTCCGCTCCATGCTGCTAATAAGATGTCACTCAGATTTAGAGTAAAGGTAAAATTTGAGGCTGGATAACGTCTCTCCTATATTCTTCTGAGTTGATCACGTAGCCTTCGATGCACCACTACAAATAAGACATGCGGAAACAAACACAATATTAAAATAGAGCATGGAAAAGGACTCGCGTTGAGACGGCGCAGAGACACAACTATTCGTACTCGATGGATGACCGTGTTGCGTACGCAAAATTGAAGGCGCGATGGCGTGAGGCGTGAACGCGCAATGCTCCGCTTTAAGCTAATGAGGTATCGCTTATGTTCGGGAGAAAAGTTACGAGGCCCCGAAAACGTCTCCTCTACTCTGTGCTGTGTTGACACTAGATTTTTTTCATTCATTTCTTTTTTAAACCTAACGTCTGATTCTTTTTCTAGGATGTATTTGCAGATCTATATCGAATGCTCTTGTGTGCCGGCACCATAACTCTCCCAGCTGAGATAGTCGGGTCAATTAGACCTGGACTGGGATTTCCGGTGGTAGTTATCCAAAAAAATTTCTCTGACGCTCGATTTCTTCTTTTTCTATTCAATTTTATGTCTGATAATTTTTTAACGATGTATATGTAGACCTAATAACGAAGTGTGAGAATGGCATTTCGTACAATACTTTACTTCCGCCAGATTCCACTTCTCCTCGTTTTTGCTCGTCAATTTATGAGTATAAACATAGTCAAAATATCTCAAATTTTTAAACCAACGGCCATAGAGGGGCAACATGAATGACGTCAGGTATGAATCGTGACCTTGTCATCTCCGAGTTCATGTTCATCATGAGCAATGAAGTATAGTGAGAGGTCCATGTGGTTAAATGCTATCTACTTTGAAGGAGAAAGTATTGATTGGCATCACGCAAAATATGACTATTAAAACCGCATTATAATAAGATCTGGGGATAACAAATTTCACCCATATAAGGGATATTTTCTTCAATCAATTGGACTGCATTTTGCAATTTGGAACTATACATTCTGGCCCGGTTTAAAAACAACGTATGTGTCATTAGTTTCCTTATGCACATAAGTGTTTTTTTAAGATGAGCCAGAATTTATAGTTCCAAATTGCAAAATGCAGTCCAATCATTACCTCCAATGCATTCATAAATATAACGATAAAAATCATACGAGGGAGAATTTACGTGGATTTTTAGAATAATCCTTTGAATTAAAATCATGAAATTCTAAAATTCACCCAAATTACTTTGTATTAGTTTACAGATCTATTTCAAAATTTCGTGAGCGCATCGTCGAAATAATTCCTCATCAATTTAATTCTCCAACATTGTGCAAAACCACCTCGGGTACACCGCCCAAGCGACGACGACCGACTCACCGCCGGCGTGCGAATCCAGCCCAGCCAGCCCGAAGGGTGCGATCATCACTTAGCGGGGGTAGAAACGCCCGCACCNGGGGGGGGGGGGGGGGGACTCGGGAGTCGAAGCGTCTCGCGCGCGTAAAACCCACCTCGGATTTTCTCGTTATGAATGAAAACCCGGAGTGGGGACTTGGCGCGGGCGGGGGGCCCGGCGGCGGGGAAGGGGGGGAGCTGTGAGTATGAGACGCCGTGCCGCGCCAGCCCGCTTCAGTGTAGTGCTCGTTACCCAAACATCCACTTCGGCTCCGGTACCGCAAGGGGGACAAAAAATATCGCAAATTGCGGAAACCGAAAAGTTCAATTTCGAAAATGCGCCCGGGTTTCATCCCCTCGTGAAGTTTTTTTCTTTTTTTCTGTCTCTGCGAGAAACCGTCACCTGTTAAGGCCGCATTTACGATGGGAACCCGCTTACGATGTTACGACTCGGTGGGAGAGTGAACCCGGGGGTGTCCCCCCCTTGGAAAAGCGTCGCCTGGGATGACTCACCCACCCCTAGCACAGGTGATCGGTAGACTTTCGCGCCGCTCGGTCCGCTCGCCCCATTTCTGCTTCTACTTCGTGCAGCTTTTCGTCTTCCTGGTTTTCTACCAGAACCCCGAGCGGGATTGAGCTCCAAGATGTGCGCGGAAACTTGCGGCATGCCCGTGGTCCGGAACCAAATTCGGGGTCCGAGTGTTGGTGTCCAGTGCGGTGCTCCCCCGTTTGACTTTGAAACATGTTCCTCCCCCCCTGGCGACGGTAGTCAAATTTTAGTCGATAGTGCGTTGTCAATTCTCGTAGTTCCGTTTAAAGTATTGTTTTGTTTGAGTAGGTGCTCTTCCAAGTATTTGCTCCTGAATTGCTTTACTGTCGTGTTTGTGTTGCACAGTATCCTCTGGACCAGTCCGCCGATGTTGGTTGAAGGTAAGCTGCGAATTTTAAGTCGAATTTTTGGGGTTTTATCGTTTTTCATGTCTTTTCCTGTCATTAGTGAGATAATATTCGTCAATTTTTTTTTTTTTTTTTTTTTTTTTTTTTTTTTTTTTTTTTGTAAATCAATATTTTTGCCATCACTGGTATTCCTTTATAATCTTTATTAATGGTTTTGTTTTATCCATAATCATTGCGTTTTCCTCCTTTTTCCAATCCGCGATTTTCTTGCCTTTGGTGGTTATTTCTCAATTTTTTCAATCAATTTTTTCCTGAATTATCGATGCAGGTCTTTTTGCTATCAATTGGTTTTTTTTTTTATCACCAATGGTTTTTCTGTGTTACACAATTTTTTCGTGCTTTTTGCTCTCATTGGTGAGATAATATTCGTCAACTTCGCAAATGCGTTTTCCTTCTTTTTTCTAATCCCCATTTTTTCCGCTGTTGATGGTTATTTTTCCATTTCTCCATCAATTTGTTACTCGTAATCATCGACACATACAAATATTTTTGTTATAATTTTTTTTTTTTTTTTTTTTTTTTTTTTTTTTGTGTCAATAGTTTTCCTGTGTCAATTTTTTTTCTTTTTTCATTTTTCGGTGTTTTATGTGAAGACGGTTTGTCAGGTCGCACGTTCCTGCAATTTTCCCCTTATTTAAATGAAAAGAAAGGGAAAAATTATGTGGATTTTAATATTTTATTTAGCTCAGTATTGTACGATAGCTCAGTGTTGTGTTCGGAATAGTCGTCGTTCGGTGGGCAGTGAGTATTAGTCTGAAAAAATCATTCGTTAGACAGCATTTAGCTTTACAAAGTTAATCTGTAAATATTTGTCTGGTCTGGGTACATTAGTCATTGATATTGAAAAAAAGATAAAAGTAATTATTCCTCCAAAGAATTTTTATCGACCTTTCGGAGATGGTTCCAGATCAAATTAATGATCTATCAATTAGTTGATAAATGTTCGGTGTTGGCCATGTTAATACTCAATTTGTTGCTTAAACGAAGCATGCTGTACTAGATCTAATATCATCCAAAAAAGTCGTGTTTTTGAGCGATTCTTGGTTTCGGTTTTTGAAAGGGTCAAGTTCGCCTTGACGCAAAAATATTGTAAATTTACGATGATTCCGCAAGTTTTGCGAAAATAGCAAAAAATCCTCACAGGCTGATATCAGTCCTGCAGGACTTCTCACGCTTTCGTCTTTCTCATAATTTTGTAGGTTAATTTATGAAATATGCTGCATAGATTTTATTTTATAACATATTATTACGCCAACAAAATAAAGAAAATTTCAGTCTTAATGACTGATATTTTCTTTATTTTGTTGGCGTAATAATATGTTATAAAATAAAATATGTTATAAAAATGGCTCAATTTGATCGTGTAACCGGAACATTTGATGAACGTGTGTGTGTTCCTATTTTTTTGTACACGCCTTGAAAAGAAATTGTGATTTTTGAAAAAAAATCGAGTGTTTGCGAATTTTTAGCAGATTCTCAACACTTAAAAGCAAAGTCCAATTCCAGAAAAACCGACCGCAAGGAAAAATTGGTTCATGAAAAAAGTAACGGAACTGGAGTTCCTGGACAGCGGGGGCCTTCATCTATGGCTATTGTTTTGCGAACTCCTTTAGAATTACTGAAAAATTCTTTCCCGTGGCGTTTGACGAGCACATCCGTTGTTTCTCCGCAAAGTCCGGTTTTCCTTGCGCGATATTTTTCATCTTACTCCTTTGTATTTGCATAATCATGACTGCATTTACAAAAACTTTAAATCTCAAACGAGCTGTCACTAAAATATGATAATTTCTTGAACTTTAATATCCACCCATCCTGCCTAGGTGGGTGTTAACTAAGCTTTTAAATTAGAAGAACGTTACGAATGTAATTATTTTGATAAATTCACCATACCTAAACTTGAAGAATACAATGAAGCAAAATGAATGAAAGGTATGTAGCAACGCACAGTTCTAGATGGAAAGATCGAAAGAATTTCATGAGCGGCGTTTTATATTTTCGATGACGTCAAAAGCGGTGATATAGAACAATCTAAGACATCATCAGAATTACTGGGCCTTGATAGTGGAGAGGGTTCCGTAAGAAAATCCGAAAATGAACAAAAAATTGAATTTTGTCATAGTGAGACTTGCGGCTTGCGATAGGGAAAGACTCAATAGAATATGCACCTCTCTACTCGCAAAAGTCGATATACCTAACGGTAAGGGTTCATGTCATCTCTAATATTGATCCTGTCGTGGACTTTTACCGGAGCAAAACTTGGAGTTGTTAGACATAGAAATTAGGTCAAAAATCGCGATTAGCACATCAGGAAACTTTGCAAGTTACTCGTTACGTCACAATTTGCGGAAGTAAAATGCAAATTTTTCAGTCTCCCGCCTGAAGATGTATACTACACGACGAACACATGGTTATGTGAAACATGACAGTGGCTATTTGCTATTTTGCGTAAAATTCTAGACTTTGCACTCATATACGAATCACATTTTGTCATCGAGGGTATTTTTTTTTTTTTTTTTTTTTTTTTTTTTTTTTTTTTTTAATAGAGGCCCAAAGTTGTCTTTCCGTAAAGAAATAAATTAACTACATTTCAACGTCGCGAAATTATCACTCGGAGAACGAACTTTTACAACGAAATTGTTGGACATTTTTAACTTAAAATTACACTCATTTTTCTTCAAATTATACCAAGCCAGTCATATTCCTGTAAAAAATAAAATTTTCGAATCAATATGCCAACCTTCATGTAAAATTATGCGTTCTTTCATCAGGGGGACAGTAAATTTCGCAAATTTTACTCGCAGATTGTAAGGTTAAAAGTAAATTGCAAACTTTCCCGATGAGTTTCTTGCAATTTGTAGGCCATTTTCAACCAGACATTTACTTTCTTTTTCACTCTGGCAAAATTTTGTAAGAGATCCATCCATACTACCATGTTAAGGAAAAACGCCGCATGAGCAGTCAAATGTTGCCAAATTTCCTCTCAGAAAAGAGTTATTTTTAAAGAGAGTTACGAATATTTTTCCTAACAATTTTTAGACGTTTTAGATCAAATTACAAACGAAATCCTCATAAAAATCGGAAGACAAATATTCCTAAAGTTTTCTAAAAACTCACGAATTTTTGAAAGCAATTTGGCCACGCCTGATGGCTCGTACGACATTCTTCCTCAGCTCGGCAGTGTAGCTGGCAACCCTGTGATCGGAGGTAAAAAGTTGACAACATAATTTCGGCGAGCGTACTTTTGTTTTGCTCAGCTCCCGGCTCGTCGACCGGGAATACGGTGCCAGAGAGTTGAAATTTTGTTGTTTTTCTGCAATATTAGCTTTGAATTCACGCCAAGGCTTTCGGGAGTGAACTGAACCGATTCTAATTCGCTCTCGATCATTAGACAAGAGTCATGGCGGACATCAATGTACTCCGAAAAACATTTCCGTCAAATGAGCCGGTTTTTCCATACACTGAAAAAAAAATCTCGGTGTATTTACTAAGAAAAGGGTAAAATTACCAAGAATTCAGGGTTCTATTTGATCCCAGTTTTTTCTTGGTAAAATTACCATTTATGGAATTGGTAATTTTACCGAGAAATTTCGGTAAAATTATTGAACTTTCTCGGTAATTTTACTGGACCTTGGTAAAAACGCCAACATTTTTCATCGACTATGGTAGAATTACCGAGATAAAATGGCAAAGTTACCGGGAATTGATTACCAATAACAGTGGTATTCTTACCTGAAAAAACAGTAAAAATACCGGTTTTTAGGTAAGCTTACCAGTCTGTCTTGATAAAATTACCAATAAATGGTAGAAAAAGTGAGATGGTAAAGGTACCAACGGACCTCAGTAAAAACGCCGAGAATTTTTTTTCAGTGTGTGTCCTTTTTTAAATATGGGACTCAAAGGGAGTCCGCCTTAACGTCCAGTCTGCACTGAAAGAGAGGAGACCTTTGATAGTTAGTTTTAAGATAATAGGGAAATTTTCAGGAGGAAAGCATTTTGGGCCACGTAAGTTTTTCATGGATAAACCTTTAAGGATGGGTGAAGGACTTTCCGAGCGTTAAATACGTGCAACTTGTGAGGGGAGTAAGGGTTCAATTTGTGGGTGCTTAAGAGGAAAAAGGTAAAAATTGGGCTTTCGTTTCCATTTAAAAGCCATTTCAATTTATTTTTAGTCAAGTTATCATTTTTCCTTCAACGAAACCTGCCTTTGCAATGGGTAAAGGGTTGATTTTGTATCATTTTCCTCCTGTAATAGGAAATGAAATCCTCGAATCTAATTCTAAGATCTGTAAAATGACGTTTTGCCGACCGGCAAAACTGAGTAGAGCTTTTTTTTTTGGTTTATTAACTTTTCTCCTCCCATGCGTTTTTCCATGTTTATTATTCTGTTTCGCGGAAGTTTCTCGTACTTTACTCAGCTCCAACAACCGCCAAGCATAAATTGCGCGTTGTCACACAAATTAAAAGCACAAATTAAAGACTGTAGGATTTGCCTAAGTGGGTTGCTACAACCACGGAGCCCGCTGCAACATCGATGCGATTAATCGCTAGTTATCCTCAAATTCCACAGGAAATCCGCAATTTTGTACGACGATTGGGCACAGCCGACGAAGAGGCGCATCCAATCACGTGACGCGTGTATGCACCGCGCGCAATCTCTGTCAAAGTTGCCAAATTTGACCATCGAAGTACGCAAATTTACATGGTTTTTTTACAGATTACGTGGGATTTTGCAATCCTGTGCAGCCAGGGTCCGGCGAAAAATGTTGTCATGTTGTTCGCATGGTCATCGAATTATTATACAGTTACCTAAAAAGTTGAAAAGTTACCGGTATCAATTTGACGCCTGTAGCTGCATTCTCACGGGTCCAAATGTTTTGCGATTTGTTTAATTTTTTTGAGGGTTTACCGGAAATCGTAAGTGCATTTTTTGATAATTCATTTTTTTCAGAGAGTTGGCAACGCTTTGCTGCACTCGCCAATTAGCCGTGCTAATTTGCGACCCTTGATTGTTTCAGGTTAAAACCGGTACCTGCACTGAGCTGACTGGTGCCGATGCTAGATATTATTCTCGATCGTTACCAAGAAAAAAGATATAAGCAAAATCGAAGAGAACGAGAAATGTACAAAAGAAAGAAATAGGAATAACTAATAATTGTATTGACTAGGCCAATCAAACGGTAAAAATTCGCGTTCGGGTATTTTGGCTCTGGTTCGCCGTATTTTAAAAAAAGATTTCGAGAGTTAACAGCTGAATGGCGATTATCAGCAAAATAATGTAATTAGCGGATAAAATTTCTCTGTTTAGAATCTCGGAATAGAATTTGCATTGCATTCTGTTCCGGCGCCTGTTTTGCCTCTGAAAAACGAGTAATAAAGAGTTTGGAGCAATATATATGCTTTTTGTGGAGTGAACTCTACTACTACAGAGGAATTTAACTGGATTACATTTTGCAATAAGGAACCACTATCCCTGGCTTTCCATAAAATCACATATCTGTGTAGGAAACTAGTGGCATGCATGTTGTTTCTAAAGTGGGCCAGAAATAGTAGTTCCTTATTGCAAAACGTAATTCAACTCTTTTTGCAGAGTTAATCACGCACTCACGAAGCGGATTTCATTCCCTATTCATTTTACTCTACGCCGCCCCTTCTTTCTTGTTTGATTTTACTCTAACGTTATTTTTCACAGCGGAATTTACTGTAATTTTTTTCGCCAAAACTATCGAGCAAACATTGCGTTTAATGTCTGTGTAACCATACAAAATAAACCTTTGATCATGTACCTTAAGTCTGGAACGTATATAGGCGGATCAAACCCCTAAGGGGGGAGGAGGCGTAGGCCGTAGGGGGCGCGCGCCCCTCCCGTTCGCCCGAAAAAAAGAGGAAGAAAAAATGAAGAAAGAAGGAAAGAAGAGAGGAACGGAGGAAAGAAAATAGAAGGATGCCAATGTTTTGTAATAATTTTTGATGAAATCGACTCAAACTGCATACTACATGCTTTAAAGTTTCGAAAATTTTCTAGGGGAGCCCCCAGACCCACCCCCGCCCCTTCCGTTTGGAGTGTCCGGATCCGCCTATAGAAACGTAAGCAGTTGAATTTTACGTAATATGTGCCAAACTTCGCGGACTGTTACTTCCGTCCCGCACTCCACGCAAAATATTTCCGGGTTCGTTCGTGCCCCGAGTATCCGAGTGCAGCACAAATGTACACGCGCGCCTGTAGTCTTACTTAAACCTTTACTACGAGGTTTTTTGCACACATCAGACTAAATAAATACCGGCAAAACATTGACCCGAGTGCAAACTCAGCATGACATACCGCTGATGACGCAAGGGCGTGGGACCTTACTTTCACGTAAGCTTCAAAGATCGTGGAATTATATGAAAAATAGAGCTTATCTCAAAATTTAGTTATGTCTTTTTGTCATAGAACGACGATGTAGCTGACGCACTTAAAACTATGCGCCGCTGACTCAGGGAAAAAAATACAAGTGTCAAAATTGAGGTAACGCTAAACTGCTGAATAATATCCTTAAAATTTAAGTCTAGTGTCGCTCAGTGTTGCCGATCCGGTTCTGATAATTTTTGTTTTTCATCCGACTTAAATTGGAGGGTCATACGTCGATTGCAAAATATCGAGGAATTCTGGCAGCGTTATGGTTAATAAATCAACCAGCTGAAACGATCATTGCTCTCTTCGTGCCGGCGAAATTTTCGATTAGCCCCTCGTTTTGTATTTTGCAACATCAGTGCCTGCCTAACTACTTTGGATCGCGAGCGCTATACTCTGTAGGAGTCGAAATTGTCCGAAATTTTTCTGCCCCATTTCTCACGCCGGCGACTTGCGAAAGAAAGTCCGTGACCTTCAGAATTGGTGCGTTATTTGGACTATATCTGCCAACCGAAACGATGTGCATTATGACGTGAGCCCTGTTATGCATATATTCTTGTAGGTCTCAGGGCTCATGTCTAAATGCACATAGTTCCGTTTGGCAGAAATACGCCCATTTGATGTATTCTTTGTACCGTCCTCGTCGTCGGCCTAAAAACTTCGCGGCTTTGGTTTCATTCGGTACCCGGTATTAAAGGGCATGCATGACTATCCGAAAAGTTCATGATGTGTGAACTTTCCTCAGAATATTCTATGACCACGTTTAGATTATGATGCTTTATTAACAAAAAAACAATAAAAATGGCACTTTCATAACGTTTTTAAAATGATTCGATTGAAGTCATGACTACACTGAAAAATAAAAGTTACGGGCTGTATAGACATACCGTCCGTTCTGGGCTCACAAAGGCCAAAAGATCCGGGTCCTGGAACAGTAGCTTTGATTATTCCGAGTGTTACGCCCGGCACTTTCGGCCTCTGAGCCCGGAACGCGGACTCTAAGTCTATATAGCCCGTAAGCACGGCTCCCACGACTGGAGTTATTTTTTTCAATGTATGGCAAAGACGATGGAGGGAATTATACGCTTCGTAAACC